AAGCAGTCGTTAGCAGTAAAAATGGTGATATAATTTAGTCCGATGGTAGAAATTGGAATTTACCGAAATTAAAAAGTAGTCATATCCTGGACAGTGGACAATATGCTCGTAGTGGAATACTTTCGGGGGGAAAATTCAACAGACTTTGACTTGAACGGACCTTATAGTAAACGGACAGACTTTATTTTAACGGACATAAAATGGCCGATAAGGTACGTGCTATTTATACGCGAACACTCTACACAGGGCTCTCCTCACTCACATATCACTATTGAAATTGCTAGAGGCTTTTCTTGTATCGAGAAATCAAATAATCAGCCAAGATAAAACAAAACGTTGAATCGTGCAGTAGGTACTGGTAAAATTTATAAACGTACTGCAATAAATATTATATTGCACACCAAGGTAATTCAGCTTTCACTAATCATCAATATTATTATTAACCTAAGAAAATAGACCAGAAGGTGGTGCAGCAGCTGGTAAAAAGACCTGGAGCAACAGCTCTTTTATATTGAGATAATGCACGTGCGTATAATAGTGATCTGGAACCGCACGTGGTGATCTCTAACTCCAGATCATATTATTTTTTAACTGAAATTTCTGATAATAATTCTCGTGAAACAATCACACCAGACTTCAAACTTGGCAGAACTTAATTATAAAAAACAAGAGGCACATGAGGTCACAGAATTCATGTGATAAAATGCAATGGTAGATTTTATTGAAAACTATCCTCGTGTAGTAAAGATGACTTTGTAATTAGTATTACACGTATTTACGGTGGATGATCAATGTAATGGGAAAATGATCCGCGGTCAATACTTGTGGGTTCTTTAGATACACATTAAGCAGCTGCACGAACTCTGCGAGCAATGACTATGATCAATTTCATAATCGACTTCTACTCTCCCTGCCTTCCCTGAGTTGGACTATTGTGGTTTCAATATAGATCATGTTTTTCAGGTGTAACAGTGGATAAATGTGATCATTTGACGGTATTACCCTAAACTAAGAACTGAGTTGAAGACCTCTCCCCATGCAAGCATTAAACCCCGTCTGGAAAATGCTAACGAATTGACACCGTCAATTAATCGTGAGTAAATTACCAAAATGTAAAACATATAAAAAGAATTTGTTTGCAGTTTGTGAAGTCACCGCTATTGCTTTCCCAATTGTTTACAGTTTACATTTATTAATCGAATCACCAATTCTGAAAAAAAAACTATGATTTGCCTAATATTGTCTAAAATTGAATCATTAATGTAGACTAAATAATACATAGGACATAATCACCTACAATGTTAAAATGTGTTTATCTTACTATATATAAAGCGAGACGATATATATATATATATCTGTGCCATTTTACTGACACCACGGCATCAACTTTAACGCGACTTTCCGCAAAAACCGTAAAAGATATACAACTGAAACTTTTTTGACTGGGTCAAATGCTTTTATGCTTTTCAAATCAGCATGAAAAAATAAAAAATTGGCCAAGGAATAAGAGTTTTAGAGCCCAAAATTTGGACCCCCAAGTGGTGTCAAAAACGCGAATTAAATAGGTAATAATTATTTTAGTCTCTTGAGTCTTGACACCATTTTAGGATTATACGGGTTCCTGCTAGTATTTATAACTTGTAATTGCATTGCATATTTAATTTTGAGATTGTGTTGAATTATGTCACGGAAAACGGTTACTGGGCCGGCCGCGCCCAGCCTGTCATTCCGCCAGGTAAGGAAAACGGCTAAAAGTGCGAGACAGCTCAAAAGCGAGCAGTGAATTAAAAAATAATTGGCAAGCGCACAGCGGTGCTTGTATCACGTACCACTGGATCATTGCATGCATTGTATTTATTTAGTGTATATTCGGGGAAAAATTCACGATACAGCCTAAGTAATAACTAGTATAAGTATGCTCTTTGAAAAACTATGAACATGCTAGCTTTTTTATTCTGTTAGTCGGCCGACATTTTGGATTGTACTGGACATAACAAGTTTGTTATCGGATGTCTACTTATATTTATTGTGATATCTATATCATTATTCATTGTAATGGCAATAAAATTTAAATTTTGTTTTACTAAAAAAAGTCGTGCGTCACTTGCACCAGTACGCGTCACGCGACGCGCGACAGGCCTACTTGTCATACGTTGTATGACCCGCCGCGCACGAGTGCGCGGCTCCCCCTGTATCGTCGAAACTCTATAGTGAAGCGACCGTTGGGGTCACCACGTGATACAAAGGCCTACGCTACAACTGACAAGGTTAATTAAGTTAGGCTGTAAGCAACTCTGATCTCATTGCTAATGCAACTCCAATGACACTATATTGATTGTAACAATGTCAACCCTTCCAAATCGTTGTTCACATACTAATTTCATGTCGCCATTTACAAGGAGACCCCAGACTTCACCTAACCATGTGCTTTCGCGCCACTTCGGGCGCCACTTCGGGCGCGCTACTGCAAGCGCAAGGGCTCTGGATAGAGCAAACCCCAGACTATCATGTTCATAAATAATAATTTGTCGGAATGACAGGCTGAGCGCCGCCGCGCCCAGTTAGTTTGCGCTGCGCATCGAAGCGGCTAAGTCCATCAAACACTATTACATATTATATTACTCATCGACAATCGAAAGCACATTCAATGTTACACGCGCGTTTCACATAGCCATGTGTATACGCATATACTTGTGATACAAGCGCGTCACGCCGTACGCGTAATGCGCGCATTACGCGTACAGCGTGACGCGCTTGTATCACAAGTTGAATATATCCTTTGCCGCTTTCGGCGGTCGCGCGCTACTGCAAGCGAGAAGGCCCTGGTTAGAGCAACACGCGCGTATAAAATATGTTTATAACTTGCTTGATTCTAGTTTGCATTACTAAGTCTAGTTGGCGTTCAGGCGTTCTGCGACCAATGCAAAATTGAACGGCGAATATGAATCCTTTAAAATCGTTTTCGAGGCACCTTAACAAAATTTATTCATGTAATTGTGTTTTTATGATCTGGCCCGGCGCGCGCTACTTCGTAGCTCGTGCCGTCATTTACAGAAGAAAGCGGCGCGCGAGAAGAAAGCGGCGCGCGCTACTTCGAAGAAATTTAGACGAGTAACATCCGTCAACGGAAAAATACATCATTAGCATTTTTGAGACTGTCATTTTTTATTCTCTTTCAAAAGTGTTCTTTTATTGATTATTGAATAAGTAAATCAAAATGCTTGATTGACGATGTCAACCCTTCCAGATCGTTGCTTTGCTCGTTCACCTAACCAGGCCATGTGCTTTTTTGTATCACGTGGTGACCCCACGGTCGATTCACTATAGTATCGTCTTTTGTAGCGCGATGCACTACTGGGTCGCGCGCGCATCAAATAATGCTTCTCGCAACCACTTAAGCAGATCGGCGAGATGCGAAGGATTGACATCGTCAATCAATATCGTCTTCGACTATAGTATCGTCTTCGACTATAGTATCGTCTATAGTATCGACTATAGTATCGACTATAATATCGACTATAGTATCGTCTTCGACAATACAGGGGGAGCCGCGCACTTCGTGTGCGGCGGGTCATACAACGTATGACAAGTGCTTTCGCGCCGCTGCGGGCGCGCTTGTTTCACTAGTCAAGAAAAGACTTTTATCGCCGTGAGGCGGGCGCGCGCTACTGCAAGCACAAGGACTCTGGATAGAGCAACTTTGCTCGTTACTTCGATGCGAAACAAAAATGATAGTTTGCGCGGCGCGGCGAAGTCCTCCAAGTAAATACATATATTTGATAATCAATAATAATTATGCAATTCTGAATATATTTGATATTATGTAAAATATTTTGTCTCGATTCATGAAGTTTAAAGGTAGTTACAGCAATGCGCAATTTGGGGAGTGTGCTTTCGGGGGAAATGTTACCAGCACCATAATTTTTTGGTGTAAGGCAAAAATTAGCTAAGCCCAGACTCTCCGCGAATGAGCAGCTAGCACCAATTGTTTTATAGGCAAATTCGGAAGTGGTGATTCAAGTTTTAAGGCTACAGAGCTAAAGGTGCATGCAGGAGTCAACACACATTTACTGTGATAAAATTTTTATAAAAGGAGGCTGCGAGTTGCGGATGTAGTACTGCATTTTTTTGAAGAGGTAGTTATCGTGACGGAGACCGGTGTCCATACTAAACTTTTACTAGATTGCCGTTTGGTGTGAGCAATAGCGAACAGAACGCACACTCCTTTGGCCTGCCAACCTATATCTAATCTATATTCAAAGAGTGACAACCATACTACACATTGAATTAGGACTCCTTTAAATATCAAATTGATTTATTGTAAACTTGTTTATTTTGTAATAAATGGCATAAAATTGAAATTTTTGTTTAACTGAAATTTTTGTTTAACTGATTGACAATTTTGGTCATGATCACTGGAGGTATTATTGGAAGCATGTTTTAGGAGTGCCTTCTTTAGGCGACTTTTAACGAGGCTAATTTTATACAGTCAAGAAGCTTGAATTTTAGTGATATGGTTAAGTAAACTAGTTGTTATTAGGTCCCGAATTGTACAATATTGTTATTTGATTATATTAACTGACTAGAAAGCCCGTGGTCACATGATGTGAGGGAAAAAGGTTATAATATTCTTTGGTGGTCAGTTTTTGCTATATTTTAAAATGTCCATTCCAACCGAAATTACAGTCAATTTAAATGTTAAACACTGTTACTATGCAACCTTGAACCTTCTGCTTTTTACCTAATTTGCATGTGGGCGGTCAAACAGACAAAGAGACACCTTCGAATTTTAGTATTGATTGTGTGATAAATACTAGAATTGTCTTTTCTCTAAAAAAATGTTCTTTTCTCAGTAGTGTCCCCTATTGGGGTATTCATATAACAACAGGGTCTGCTTGAAGTTCGAATGTTAGAATGTTGCAGCTGTGTCATGATTTAGCATCCAGGTTCATTGTAGCCTTTTCGAAATTTTATGATAACTTTACTCCTAAATTAGATCAGTTCATGCAACAACCTCCGCCGTATGCACCTCAGGGGGGCGCTCCGCCCCCTGCCGCTATGGTCTCCAAAGTGGAGATGACCATATCATGTGAAGGATTGAGAGATGCTGATGTTTTTTCCAAATCAGACCCCATTTGTGTTGTGTATAACTTAGAGGGGAACAAAAGAAGGGAGGTCAGTATTTACAATCTACTTTGCATATATTTTTATTTTTACAAAAATGTACAAAATATGTTCAAATCTTCTACTCATGCTTTTTACCAGTTACTTTACTCAGAACTTTCATTTCAGATTGGCCGTACAGAGAGAATAGATGACAACCTGAATCCAAAGTTTCAAAAACAAGTCATTGTTGATTACCATTTTGAGGAAGTACAGAAACTTGCATTTCACGTTTTTGACATAGACGATAACAATAATGATGTCAGCAAAGCAGATTTTTTGGGAAAATGTGAATGTACTCTTGGCCAGGTATTTAGTATTGCTGATTTGGAAAGGTTTTCTGTGTTGTGAATTTTGGGGTGTAGAGTCTTGCATAATATGCTGTTTAATTCTGATCAAATGTTTCCTTACCAATATGATGATCAAATAGTTGTAGATAAATTTAGTTAAGAATGCTGATCGACATTCTTAACATGCTCCAAAACTCATTTCAGATTGTTAGCTCTTCGAATTTCAAGCGACCTCTGGATTACCTAGGTAGAAATTTTGGATCTATTTCTATTCAAGCCCAAGAACAGGGTGGTATGCAGAAATCAGTAGCAATGACTCTTAAAGGTGTCAAACTTGACAAGAAAGATTGGTTTGGTAAGTGCTTAAGTGCCCGCTTTAAGATAAATTGTAAAGAGATTAAAGCAGATAAAATTACTTTTGTTTTTAAAATCCCCTCACTAGATGATGTTTGCATAAAGAATAATTGTTTACCAAAAATTATTGTTCTTCACGAGATTTCCTGTGATGTTAACTGTAACCTTTATGATACTGTGTTGTAATTTGTTTGCAAGCCCATCATCTATCCTAGTAACTGCCATATCTACCATATTCAGACAAGCAATTAGCTTTTAGCTAATTAAGCTAATCAATAAGCAATTAGCAATTAGCTCTCTTTACTACTTTCAGGCAGCAAGTTACTGAAGTCTAAGGGAATAGGGCTGCTAGTTTTGATGTCCTTAGCTTTGAGTGTCCTATTGTCTTACTTTCCTGCCTCCCTGTATTATATCCTACCTTTTTACTTAATCGTTATTATGTTCCACCTCGCTCAGTTAGGTAAATTGAAAGCTATAATATTACTGTACATGTTACTATATAATATGTTGCTTGTAACATTGCTAATTTCGTGGAGATGGAATATTTAAGGATCTTTGAATCATAAAATTACACGGCTGTATTGTGCTGTAAATATGTTAGAATGCTCATTCGTCTTTACTCTGTAACCACTTACTTGCAATACTGCAAACAAAATCATGCCTCTAACTTTACGCCGTTTTATATTATTAAATATTATATAATGTGCCACTGCTAGGTATGACTTATATACCTAATCTAACTGCGTATAATACACTATTAATTGTGGACTCAGTGGAGTTATAACAATGACACTCCGTCCAACATTGTAAATGTGCTCTGAAGTAGACGAACTTTTGGATCAAAGCCAGTTCAAAGCTAAAAGTTCCGACTTCAATGTTAAGATATAATACCTTTACTTAGTATTTCTCCCCTTTACTATGATACCTTAGGGGAGAAGTATTATTGAGAATAAAGGTTCCAGTATACTGCGCTATACCTGCTGTCGGAGCTATAGTTGGCATAATGAGCTGTCAGTTCACACAGAGCCGACATTTTACAAACAATTGAAATATGAACTAAGAAATGTTTATGTAAAACTAAACTAGTACATGTTACACATTTCTTCAACTCTATGTCTTTTCAATTTAATTTATTGCTCTACTGAATCAACAAGCTCTTCTTCACAGGAAAATCAGACCCATTCCTTGAGTTTCACAGACAGTTGTTAGATGGTAGCTACGCACTGGCACACCGGACAGAGTTCATAAAGAACACTCTGAACCCTAATTGGAAACCAATGAAGATAAACACGAGGAGATTGTGTAATAACAATCCAGACACTGTTATCAGGGTTTGTAGATTAATTTATATGATTAATATCACCACATGAGTGTAATGAAATAGATTGCAGCTGCTGTGATAAGTAATAATAAAGAGGTCGAATAGATTATTCCATTTACGGGGCTAACATGAATTACATGGTCTTGATTTATAGCTCAGTTAATATTGCTGATGGTGTAATCCCAGTGACATAAAGTGAGGAATCTAAGAATCTAATTCCTAGCCATATTAATTTCCATAGCCACGCCGACTTCATTTTTGTCAACAAAATTATTAAATCAACTTTAAAATAGTCGCTCTCGGTTGTTACACACTGTAACGCCGCGCACTGTACTTTAATTCTATATTTATCCGAGAAGATGTTCGAATCGAGCGCAAATGCCAGATTCCTGTCAGGATCCTAGTTCTTGCGCTTAACTTGCGCGTTACCAAATAATCCAAGATATTTCTGTCAGGATCCAAGATTTTCCTACTACCAGTATGGTAGTATGGACTGTTTGGTAGTATGGTAGTTGCAGGAACGCGCGAAGACCTATATGTAAATATTACAAAAGCGTTCATGAAATCGTAGCCTAGTTGGATAATCCGTCGTTACTACATTAGCAGATCGCGAGTTCGAGACCCGGAAAGGAATTCTTTCACAATCTTTTGGCAATTATGAATAACTATACTAATGAATTAATAACTATACTAATGAATAACTAAACCTCTGTAATATAACTAGCAAAGTAAAATGAAATCGTTATCCGGCCGCGGAGCGGCCGAAAAATTTATGGTAGTCGTTTTAAAAATATATGGTAGCCGTTTTTTCTTTCCAGACTGGATTCCTAGTCCCTTTTTAAATTTATGTCACTGGGGGTGTAATCACATCCGAGGAAGGGGAGAGCTATCTGTGGACCAATTCTAATACTGCTTAAAACTTTGAAACGTAGATCAGGATCGTAGTGTCAGTTGTATTATTCTACTTTTTTCTGACAAATGTGCTTAAAGACCATTTTTAAAATTCCGAATTTCCTTTTTGGGTCAAGGACTATCCCTGAAAACCATCAGAAACCATTAAAACCAATCGCCCTCAGGACCCCCTTTTGAAACTGCTTAAAATGCCACAAGTTGTCATAAGTGTCACGTCAAATAAAGTGCTTGAAAAGCTCGGATTATCTAGTGGTCTTTAAGCAACTTTGTCAGAAAACGGCAGAATTAGAGGTTTAATATTGTTAACTTTTAGGTGGAGTGTTTTGATTGGAACAGTAATGGTTCTCACGATCTTATCGGAGAGTTTTTCACAACACTTGCAGAATTAGAACAGGCTAACGCTGGGGTAAGTTCAAGCTTTTTGTGTAACAGTAGCAGTAACCATGGTTACTTGCTCCTTTTTGTGTAGTTATAAAAATAACTGAGTTGCTGGAAAGGTTCGTTGTACTACTGTTTAAACTTCTAAACAGTAGTTTCATTTGTCCTACCTTGTCCAGTTGTCCTACCTAGTCTCTACTACCGGATATTATCCCTGGAATCATAAAAATAACTGTCTAACAGTAACTATGGTTAATTGCATCTTGCTCCTTTCCTTTTCTGCCAAATGGTGTCGGCAAAATAAATCGAAATTTTGATTACTGCCAGCATTGCAGAACTTTATGAAATTAATTTTGTTATGTGCATAGTAAGTGTACACGAGGGCATTTTAAAATTTCCGTTAAAATTAATTGTGCAATACAAGCAGTATACAAGCCCCCCCCCCCCCCTATACTGCCCTGCTTGAATTAAAATGGAACCGTACCGGTGGTAATTTAACCCGTTTTAATCTAATATACGAACATGTGTTTCAGAAAACATTTCCCCTGGTTCACCCTAAGAAGAAGAGTAAGAGAGGTTACAGACACTCTGGTGAGATAGTGGTAGAAACACTGACTGTCGCTAGAGAGTACAGCTTCCTTGAATACATCCAGGTAATTGTAACTCATGTAAAGGCTTTCCGTTAGGTTCTTACATCAAGTGTAGATATCATGTTAATTTCAGATATCAAGTTAAGTGCTAATCTCATTATCTCAGGGAGGATGCGAGCTAAACTTTGTGGTGGGTATAGACTTTACTGGGAGTAACGGAGATCCCCGAGATCCTTCTCACTTCACTATCTTGGGGGCACAACCCCCAACCAGTACACACAGGCTATCACTGCTGTGGGAAACGTTATCCAGGACTACGACAGTGATCAGCTCTACCCAGCTTTTGGGTTCGGAGCTAGGCTTCCCCCTACATGGCAGGTAACAAAGTGCTAACACAGTGCTAACACAGTGCTAACAGTGCTAACAGTGTTAACACAGTGCTAACACAGTGCTAACAGTGCTAACAGTGTTAACACAGTGCTAACACAGTGCTAACAGTGCTTACAGTGTTAACACAGTGCTAACACAGTGCTTACAGTGTTAACACAGTGCTAACAGTGTTAACACAGTGCTAACACAGTGCTAACACAGTGCTAACACAGTGCTAAAACAGTGCTAACACAGTGCTAACACAGTGCTAACACAGTGCTAACACAGTGCTAACACAGTGCTAACAGTGCTAACACAGTGCTAACACAGTGCTAACACAGTGCTAACACAGTGCTAACACAGTGCTAACAGTGCTAACACAATGCTAACACAGTGCTAACACAGTGCTAACACAGTGCTAACACAGTGCTAACACAGTGCTAACAGTGCTAACACAGTGCTAACACAGTGCTAACAGTGCTAACACAGTGCTAACACAGTGCTAACAGTGCTAACAGTGCTAACACAGTGCTAACAGTGCTAACACAGTGCTAACAGTGCTAACACAGTGCTAACACAGTGCTAACAGTGCTAACAGTGTTAACACAGTGCTAACACAGTACTAACAGTGTTAACATATTATCTGGTTTTTCATTAGTCTCGCAAGCGTCATACTTCCTCTTATATCTACAGTTTTGACCTATTTGACGGCCGAAAGCATATTCGGTGCGATTACAAAACTAATTGCACTGCTTTTTTAGAGCTTCCTCTTATAACCTGATGTATTAGTGTGTACATTGGACACTGTTCAGTGTACAATCAACATCGAACAAGTGCCGGCCATCGTAATTAACTAGACAAACAATGAGGTTACATTTCTTTAATATCATCTGATGACTCATGACTGATCATGTAGATTGTAAGTACTCAGTAGCACTATACTAGGGGTTGTGTCCATTACTGTTGTGTTTATATCTTACAGAGACGCTATTTAAGTTCTGTTATACAACTCCTTGGCTTGTAAACTCTATTAGAGTGTAATCTAATAGCTAACACTGGTCACTGTAATATCATGTTCCACCACTCTCTCTCTCTCTCTCTCTCTCTCTCTCTCTCTCTCTCTCTCTCTCTCTCTCTCTCTCTCTCTCTCTCTCTCTCTCTCTCTCTCTCTCTCTCTCTCTCTCTCTCTCTCTCTCTCTCTCTCTCTCTCTCTCTCTCTCTCTATCTCTCTCTCTCTATCTCTCTCTCTCTCTCTCTCTCTCTCTCTCTCTCTCTCTCTCTCTCTCTCTCTCTCTCTCTCTCTCTCTCTCTCTCTCTCTCTCTCTTTGATTTTTCAAACCTACTGTGAGGTATTTAGTGTAAGAAGGAAACACAAACGTAACACAGCAGTATATATTCTACATCTTTGTCTCCCCCTTCAGGTATCACATCAGTTCTCCTTGAACGGAAATCCTTCAGAGCCTGACTGCCATGGAATCCAAGGAATTCTGGGCGCATACCAACAGTGTATTAATAGTGTTCAGTTGTATGGTCCTACAAACGCCAGCCCTATTGTTGGGAATGTAGCCAAAATGGCTCGGGAGGTAAGTTATTCTCTTTATTACATTTATAATTATCACTTCGAGATGCTGTCTATAGGTGATGATTAATTCTGAAAAACTAGGGACAACAGGATCATTCCCCAGTTGTCCCTAGTTTTTCAGAATTAATCATCACCTATAGACAGCATGAGAGTAGGCCCTGCCATCTCGAAGTGATAATAATAATTAAAATGTTTCGCAGATTGGCAATTAATCGGTGTAGTTGGTGTTGTACACACTGCACTGATAATGATATCACGTTGAACGTGTAATGTAAATATAGTGTGGATACATGCGAATATATATTCTAAATAACTGATACATAATCAACAAATGTTTTTGCCATGAAACGGACCAAACTGATCCTAACTCATATTCCACTCATCATAGCATATTGCTTCAGCATGTACAAAGGGCATAACCTCAATCAGTTTAATGTAGTGAAATGACTGGTGTGGATGAAGTAGTGTACTAATACAAGTTGGAGAGGATCAGGTAAGCTTAGTCAGCATCCATGATGTTACAAACCCTCTGGGACATTACTGCGCCCAGTCTCCAAAGTTACAGTAAATTCCTTCTACGGACAAACAAACACAGACAAAACACCAACAAGAAACTGATATACACTAGCTAGCTCAGAGAGGAAATGAGTACCGGCTCAGGAGGTATGTCAAAACAGGGCGCCCTTTCGAACACTACTCGGGCTAGAATCAGTGCAATTCGGACACTACTATGCAACTGAACCATGCAAAACTATATATAAGTGCACCTATGCTGGCAAGGCAATAGGTCAGACTGCCAGTCCTGAAAACCAGTTCTATGATAAGGGTCACGCAAGCCCCGAAGGGTCAATAAAAAATCAATAAATGTTTTTGCCATGAAACGGACCAAACTGATCCTAACTCATATTCCACTCATCATAGCATATTGCTTCAGCATGTACAAAGGGCATAACCTCAATTAGTTTAATGTAGTGAAATGACTGGTGTGGATGAAGTAGTGTACTAATACAAGTTGGAGAGGATCAGGTAAGCTTAGCTGATACATTTAGAATTATTCGGAGTCTTTGAGTTGTTTTGAAATTTCAAAGATGCTGAAGAAGATTCAACTTTGAGAACTTCGAGAACATTATTTCCAACCTTTTAGGCAATAATAGGAAATTCTTCCAAGGACTTTTGATTGAAGTAGAAAATGTGCATAATTTTAATATTCAGCTTCTAGCAAAATATTAGCTTCTAGTAAAAAAGAACGTTGTTAGTGATAAACGGTCCATCACTTTCTGAAAGGCGTTGACATTTTATTACACTCTGGACGTTGCACATTATCTGTCGCTCAGTTGGACGAGTTTGGTGTGCAGCAAGGCTTACCAAAAATACACACAATAATTGCTAATTTGTAATGTTCTTATATATAAGATTGTAATGTTCTTATATATATATTAGGACGCAATGAAACTACCGGACCACGATGTATGGGGACTTGCCACCCCATGGCGACATTAAAATATATCGACTTTGTTACATCGTTTCCTGTTAATATAAAATTCCGTTACAAATTTAACTGGGATATAATTTAACTGGGATATATGACACTCATCTCTGTGTAATATTGCAAAACGTATAAACATAGCTTGTTACATGGAGTGTTCATGTTAACAATTAGACATAAAATAATTGCTTTTCCGCCTCCTACAGCAGTAAAATGGTTGACAATTATCATTTCCTGTTTGGCAGTCAATCATTAGTTGACTGGATAATCTAATCTTAGGAAAATCTAATAGTCTAAACAAGAAATGCGGCCGCTTATATCTCCCAACTTTATAAATTAGTGGCTAGTGGGATACGTACATGGTGAAATTAACGATTTACTTGATCATTTCAGCGTCGCGCACCAATAATAATTTGATTCAGAATATCGTGCAAAATAACTTTGCAGAGTGAGGAATGAGAGCGACAACTGCGCGCCGGCACGTATGTACGTACGATAACGACGACGACCATAGACAAAAACCTCGTTCGCTAACCCTTGTCCTTGACTATTTTGTGCCTTCGGCACTTGAGTCATGGATCGGCAAAAAATAATCTAGCTGTACACAAGTTCAACGTAGAAAATCTATTGAAATCCTGAAACCTGATGAATAAGGAACCAGTTTATTTGTTGGTACCATTGTGCTAGAACTGTAACGAGTATACATTACCAGCCTGCAGCTACCAAGTTGAATGTTGAATATACACACATTACTTCAAGAGTATATTACATATACCAAATATTATAGTATGTAGGCCAATCACACAAGCAATCAGCACTAGACAATAACTCAACCTGACAGAAAATAATATATCCTATTATTTTACTTTATTTTAAAAATCTAAAAATTTAATATATTCATCATTATTTTAAGTTTCTACAATAAAATCCCGATCGCATTATTAATTTCCTCAATGTTATGTCGTTCCTATTTATATTTTCAATATATGTCGTTATATATATATATATATAAGGTCTGCTATTTTACTTCCTTCCTTGTTGTGAGTTCTAATTTATTATCCTTCAGGCACTCCACCAGCAGCAAGCTAAAGACTACTACATCCTGTTGTTAATAACAGATGGAATCCTTACTGACATGGATCAAACTATTCACATGATTATTGGTAAGTTGTTATATTAGTTAGATTAAAGAGGAGCAATCTCTCTACACATTAGCCTACAAAAATGTTCCCGAGCCGGTTATACACTTTAATGCTATAGTGTCTGTTTCACAACATAATTTGTGCATAACCTTTATATTATAATATGTTATATAAACCTATACTACTGTGTTACAATGCTATGTGGACTTTATTCAACTTTGTAAATTAATCCTATGACTTCGAGTGTATTCAATCTGCGATCATGATTACGACATTCCTTTATGCCTTATTCTAACTAGAACTGCATCGCGAATGTAATTAACAATTTTGAATTGTTTTGAACGTTTTATGAGCAACAACACTATTACACTAGCAGTGTAACAAAGTATCTCGGAGTAATGTATATAATTTATAAAATGTGTGTAAGTTTCATTATAAAATGAACATAAAACAGAATCTCCAAATCTCACGGTGTTACAATTTTTACAGAGGCCAGTGAGTTACCGATGAGTATCATTATTGTGGGAGTTGGAAACGCTGACTTTTCTGATATGGAGCGACTTGATGCTGACGATGCCTTGTTAGTAGATTTCTCAAAATTTCTTTCATCAACTTAATTTGTATAAAATTTACAAAATAATTTCTTATAAAACTTACGACTAATTGGGTTTAATGATCAGGTTATCGATCGGTAATCGAAAAGCGAAGAGAGATATCGTTCAATTTGTTCCCTTCAGAGATTTCAAGAATGTAAGTATTTGCTATATCTCTATATTTCCCATTTCTCTAACCCCCCTTACAGCTTTACATAACGCATTTCCACATCGTTCCGCACTCTATAAAGATTTAATATCCCCACGATAACATTGGAAGTGTGTGTGTTTGTGAGTATGTGAGTGTGTGTTAGACCTCACGTGACGTGTCACGTGCCACTTGACAGTGTTACAGAGTATCCATGACAACAACCAGAGTGTTAAGTGACCAACATATTTTAGGCGACACCAGCTCGTCTTGCGGCGTGTGTGCTAGATGAATTGCCCAGCCAAGTGTCTGGGTACTTCAACTCTAAAGGAAAGGAGCCCCCTTGTGATATCCCCCAGTCCGAACCGCCTCCCTCCTACTACCGCACTTCTTCCGTGGCCCAGTCCTCCAGAGCCTCTATTTCATCTCAACCTGGCGGCTACATGCCCTCCAGACATGGCTCCATTTCTTCAAGACAATGAAATCCTTCCGACTGACTTTATAGTGACCGGACACTGGACACTGGACACTTTTATGCATGTGTACATAAGTCTGATTTTTAGTGGAATTATTGAAAAAGAAACAACGCTTTAAACTTTATACAAAGCTTTATCAGAGCAAATTATATATTTTTAGATTGTAGCATAAGCAATTTTTTAATGGCATAGCGGTTGTTCATAGCTCTAAAGTATGGTAAGTATTGTCATGGCTCTCAGATGCAATGATTGTTATCGACTTGGTCCAAAAGTTAACCATGATCTAATGGGCACGAGTTTCGCTTCAATTTGTAATCTGCCTTATGACGTTTTCTATTACGTAAGTGATGCTAAAAATGGCCCTCAAACATAGAACTGGTCTCAGAATATCGTCATGATTAGTTCTAGAAGAGTCTATTTCCATCTCTAGGCATAGCACCTGTACATTCCTTTCATACCGCTTCTGTAGTTGTTTTGATGATCTAACACTTACGTCATGGGACAGGAATTGTTCACGTAGGCTACTTCACGTAGCGCGCACTAAGTCTGAACACTGACATTAAAGCGTCCGCGGGTCAATTAGTTGCATAATATATAATTAATATATATGAGTCCGCGCGCGCGTATACGCCACGAATATCGATCACAAAATAAACACGATCGATAGTTAAAACATATAGCTAGATATGACGCATAGTATAGCCACTAATCACTTAATGACTAATTAAGGTATAGACTATATGATGAGATGGTCGATGTTCATATAATTTCATTGCATCTAAAAATGAAGATGAAGCGTGCAAATTGTGAGTCCTGAAGGCTGACCGGTCCTGAACCAATTTTGTTTGATCTCGTTCAACGAATTCAACTAAGTAGTAATCGACCAGTATTTCCCCAAGCACCTTGAGAATTAAGCATTGCTTCTTCAATTATTGCACCAATATCAAAGTGCAGCCCATTCCTTTAAAGAGCGACGCCTGATTTATAAAGCTGAAGCTACCCTGTGAAGTGTAATGAAGTGAAGAATATTATATTTTCAGGTGCCAGCATCCAAGCTAGCTGCTGAGGTTTTAGAAGAAGTACCCCATCAGTTGGCTGGCTTTTACAATGACTTGAATTACGTTCCCTTGAACTTTATCAATGCTCCTTACGGCTAGCGAGAGTTGTGTGTGATTAGCTGTTAAACGAAACTTTGGCTATGTCTTAGGCTGTTTTTTGTGAAGAGGATGTCGCCAAAATGTTATATTGCTTGAACTCTATCTATACATAGAAAATGAAATGAGGTTTATTCATATTTTCGTTTACTGATTGCCAATTTTCATGGACCTAACAACAAAAAGGGTTGAACCTCCATTTTCTCAGGTCCCATCCCACAAATTAGCTTCAGCAGTATTAGAGGAGCTTCCTGACCAACTTGCCGGCTATTACAATACCAACCGTTTACATCCAATCCATGAATAAACTTCGTAAATTATCATTTTCCGTTTTGAACTGTGTATATTGGGAGTGCTCCTGTGTGTTGCTCGTCTCGCTGAAACTTAGAGCAGCTGTTAATCGCTATGCCATGAAATATTTAATTAGTTTCTGTTTTATTTAATGGCGATTTGTTAGATTTTTTAACGTATACAAAAGAAGACAAATATTTAGGCACCCTTGCCTTGGGTTTTTAATACTTAGCATTTCTTGTGTGATTTCAGTTATCTTTTATTGTTTATAGAATTCTTGATTAAAATTGGTATTATCACTGAATTATATGCACATAATAATATAATTGATTTCCAATTTACTAACCAATTTGTATAACCACGAAATCTTGTGTTTTAATTATATTACACCCACCTTTTCTAGGGACTACCAGACAGACTGGCAGCTAGTGTTCTAAAAGAGGTGCCGGGTCAAGTTCGCGAAATGTACAATGATATTCTCCGTGTTCCACCCTTATACCAGCCGTTCAATGGACCACCATCTTGATAGAGCTACAGTCAGCAGTTTAGCCCTGTTTGTGGGTGACTCCTTCTAGTATTTCACGTCTGTGTGTAATGACTGAACCGCAAAGACTCTTAGTAAATGCATCTGGTCTTGTTAGTGAAATAACGAGTGAAAATGAAATATATTGTGTCCGTGATTTATCATTATACAGCCTATGATACCAAGGTTCAAGTGCTCTTGTTACAAGTTACAACTGAAATGATACTCCCACTCAACAAAAGAATTGGGGGTTTGCAACGGCTTTTCCCCTGTTTGTGGACATTTGTGCCAAAAATGTGATCCGTTTTTAGAAATGTTCATTAGCGTGGCAATAGGATGAATTGGTGAGAGATATGAGATCTGTCGAATTGGATTAGGAGTGTCTGCTACATTTTCAGATAAACAGTCTGTGTCCATAATTAACCCCATGTTACTTGTTAGATGTTTTTTAATGATTGTGTTAGGTTATTTTCTCTTTTACCGTCTAGGTTTTTGCTGTAGTTGTACCGCAGTCCGCAAGATGCACGCAGTTAGGATATTAATATTATTGTTGGGTTGAGTTCTAGTAATATATATCATAATTTTTGATATCTTAACAAGCAAGGGTTTTTATTGGTAATCTTAGGGGGGCGCAAAATCGTCTTTTGAATGAAGGACAATTTATTCTCCAAAATCACCTAAATTGTTCAATTTTAGGGAGAGGCGCCAACAGCTGGGGGGGGGGGGGGGGGGGGGTGCGTATTTTCGGCGAGGGGTCAGTGTGGGACATGTCAGTGTGGGACATGTCAGTGTGTCACGAATCTGTTTGGTCCAATGTATTATTTTTTTACCTTTAGTTGCTGATGTAATCGGCTTTTATTCTTCGATTTAACATTATTCGCTGTATGTCGTTTTCTGAAAATGCCTACGTTATCTTTGACAGCAAGGCAAGAACTGATAGGAAGTTTTCAGCCATGAACAGTCTGAAGACTTCCAAACTCTCAAACAAACTCTCAAACAAACAATACAACCCAAACTAAAAGCCAGACTGAAAGTTCTGAAAGCTAGTACAAGATGTATAGTGAGTGTATAATATTGATACGCCAGGTCTGCCGTTTTTTGACAAATGTGCTCAAATAACACAAGGTTCATTTTAGTCAGTGTAATAAGCGCCTTACCTGAGGACCCCAGGCTTTAATGTTGGTAAACAATAGAGATTAGGCGGAATGACAGGCTGAGCGCGGCCCAGTAATAAGCGCCAAGCGCGAGCACAGAACTTTTTTTCTCCGATTTCGATAAATTTGGCACCAAAAGTTGTCTAAAAATGTGAATAAAATAAATCCACCGTGTAGCAATTTTTGCTAAAAATGCTATACGGCGCTTGTTCGCCGCGCGTGCTTTTTTCGCGCAAATTTTTAGTTTTTGGCCTATAACTTTCACATTTTCAGTTAATATCACGTAATTATTATGGCATCGTAATAAGCTCATCGAGACAAAACTTTTGGTACTAATATTTTAAGATTTAAAGGAAAATTATTTTCAAAAATTTTAAATCTTAACACAAGGGTCCCTCCTTGTGTGAAATTTTGACCAAATTTTTGAAAATTTTTGTGCTTCAAACATTATGATTTTGGTACTAAAAGTTGCGTCTGACTAAGCTCATTACGATCCTGTATAAATTATTTCAAAATATTCAATATGTTAGGAGTTATAGGCATTTTAAGCAATAAATTACCCATTTTTCGTCCTTTGTACACTCTTGCGATGCACAAAAGGCCCACATACAGCTCGACGTTATCGTGCTACACGGTGAATTGTCGACAACTATCGCTGGATATTGTTAACCAGCGCTGGATAGCGACAACTAGCGCTGGATGGCGACAACTAGCGCTGGGTAGCGCTAGTTGTCGCCATCCAGTGCTAGTTGTCGCGTTTTTACTATATTCGCAAAAGAATCACAAATGCTGTGTATGTCCCTTCAGTACAAAACAAAAACAAAACTTAGGAGTTAGGTTGCCTTCAGCGGACTCATTCCAGAGAAAAGCCTTATAAGTGTTCTGATTGTTTTCGAAAGCAAATTTCCGAAAGACTTTCCAAAGGCCTTCAATTTCCATCCCCTTTTAGTAGCACTTGTTTGTCAAGAATTGCTGCACTGGCAGCTTAATCTCCCCTCTGAAACATCCTGTCTACGATGTTGGCGATAAAATAGTAAATATTGCAATATTGGCGATAATTGAACATTTGACAACCTGAATTTACGTGTACACTTTAATCGATTTTAATTCTGCTTACTTATTCAAAATTAAGAAACTATAATGAGGAAACTTTTGAACTAAAAATAAAAAAATTTAAGAAACTTGTAACCTAGAGTTTGCTATTACATAACAAATGAATTACCCTTTCTGTGAGCTAACAGTAATAACGTAAATATATTTTCCCAACATTTTGAAGGTGGTACAAGAGTACTAGTTAAACGGCCATGTTTGTTCCGATAAATATAATGATATACAATGAAAAAAAAACAACAGTTATTATTAAAAAGCCAAATTATCACAGGACACACAACAATTAAGTATTAAATTGGCTGCCCAAAGTCTTGCCATATTTGGATCAGTAATCTTGCAAATATAGGGGCTAGTAACAGTAAAGTTGGCTTCAGATCGTCTACTCCGTCAACAGCGTCGTCAAAAATTTCTGAAAAGGATAAATTAATAACTGGAAAATACTTCAAAAATCTTCATATTGTCTTTTAGTTTTAGTTTGTCGCCAATAAAATAACGAATATGAAAACTGAGCATGAAATACCCACACATGCATGGATGAAAAATATTGTATTTTCTTTGGTACGATTTGACAATACATAGTAGTAATGGACCTTGCTGAGAAATGGGTGTTTGATCGAAAGATGATGAGGAGACAGTATCCAACTCAGGCATGTAAGTAGCTGTAGGCTTGACAGTGAGCATATCTAGGAATATCTTTGTAAGTTTATATTCAGGATTTTGAAGAAATTACCATTGAGATGAACCGATTTCCTAAATCTGTTTTTGTGAATAATTAAACTGATGCTTCATAATAACAATAAAATGAGTAGCACAAGTATAAACCTTCAATCAATTACGAATGACTAACCATCATCAAATTTGTCCTCGACTGGGGCTGGATTTGTCCCCGACTCACTTTCTGCAGCTGGATCTGCACCCTTGGTAGGTTCTGCAGCTGAACCCGTATCTGCAGACTTATCAGGTTCTGCAGCTGGAGCCGGTGCTGAATCGGCAGCCTTGGCAGGTTCTGCAGCCGAGTTCGCATTTGCAGCCTTAGTAGGTTCTGCAACTGGAGCCGGTGCTGGATCTGCAGCCTTGGCAGGATCTGCAGCTGAACCCGTATCTGCAGACTTATCAGGTTCTGCAGCTGGAGCTGGTGCTGAATCTCCAGCCTTGGCAGGTTCTGCAGCTGGAGCTGGTGCTGAATCGGCAGCCTTGGCAGGTTCTGCAGCCGAGTTCGCATTTGCAGCCTTAGTAGGTTCTGCAACTGGAGCCGGTGCTGGATCTGCAGCCTTGGCAGGATCTGCAGCTGAACCCGTATCTGCAGACTTATCAGGTTCTGCAGCTGGAGCTGGTGCTGAATCTCCAGCATTGGCAGGTTCTGCAGCTGGAGCCGGTGCTGAATCGGCAGCCTTGGCAGGTTCTGCAGCCGAGTTCGCATTTGCAGCCTTAGTAGGTTCTGCAACTGGAGCCGGTGCTGGATCTGCAGCCTTGGCAGGTTCTGCAGCTGAACCCGTATCTGCAACCGGTGCACTTTCAGCCTCTGCCAAATAAAATTGCCTGGTTTCATTTCATTTAACAAACCAATGTTTAATCAAAATGTCTAATCCAATGTCTAATCAAGTTTAACCAAACCATGTTTAATAAAATTTTCAAAGTTTAGTGACCACTCGATTGTTTGTTACATTTTATTTCAGGCTAACAATCTTCGTCTAATTCTGAAAAATGATTATTGAATAACGACCGCAGTTGATTTTTTTAATTTTTAGTCCTACATTTTCCTCAGATCTGATATTTTTCTACTACACCGGATCACTCCATTTTCTAAAATTTAATTTTAAATGATACTCAAAAAAACTATTTTACAGTGGATAACTATTTTACAGTTATATATTTTGTTTGAAATAAATTTCGTCGTCAAATTTTTAATGTAAATATTGATCATTATAATTGAATTAATACTATTTCAGAATATGAGTATGACGTAGAAATGTCGATACGTTATTCAGCTATTTATTTCCATTAGAATCTGTCTTCACTGAGTCTATTCAAAAACAATCAGAAATTTGAATGAAAAAACTATTAAATCATGAGACTCAATAACACTACACAAATCCACCAGAATAGTACTCAAAAGCTATAAATTCTAATTCGAGCACGTATATAGGCATATTCCTATTTCTTAGGCGTAGAGTTACATAAAAGATACGAGATGTTTTTAGTATTTTTGAGACCAAATCATCATATTCAGTACTCTTAAAATGACCAATTTAACAACCTGTTGCTTGTTCGACGAGGAATACCCCTCCAAAAAGCGCCAATAGGGCAAACAGCTTCATTCTTGATAAGATCGTTTATCAGCACGCTAAGAAAGATGGTACATTGTAGTTCTGGTTAGTGGTACTGAGATTGAATTTTTACATGTATGATGTAACTTCATCGATTGATAGGTCGACTATACAGTATACACGTGCATACGTTACAACTATAACAGACATAAACGAAATATTACGGTAGCAAAATAATTGATAATGATAGTAATTTAATTGAAGTAAATTTTACATAATTGAATTTTGATAAACGTTAAGATTTTAAATTTAATGAACTTATAATGAAACAAAATTTTGCGTCAGGTCATCACATCAAGCACGCGTGACCATAATTAATACTTTTAGTTTTAGTTTTACTAGTTATAATTACTGTGAAACCCCGATATACTGCGGAGTTTTTGGAAGGGAACAACCGCGATAAATTGGGGTTTACAATAAATCGAGGTATTGTTTGTTCACATTAAGAATTTTAAGCTTTTTTGGGGAAAGGAAATCGTCGCGGTAAATCGTAGTTTTAATGTATATAATAGTTTTTGTTCATAACTATTAACTACATTCAAAATTGATTTTTTTTAAAACTCAATCACATACCAACGGATTTCATTTTCATTCACTAGAAAAGAATCGTTCCACCATTACAGTAAACATACAGACAATTGTGCAGTGTTCGAAAAGACTTCTAACCTGAGATAGATAGAAGGCCCGACGTTTTTTAGTGTTCTTGGTAAAGTAACATGTTCTTTTTAGAAGGCCTAACCTCTGACTAGCCTTAGAGTATATCATATCACCAATCTAACTTACTATTGATATGTACTCCAAGATCTTTTTCAATGTCTGTGTTTTCGATAGCCGTTTCATTCAAAGAGTAAACAAAATTAACACTACGATTCATAGAATATGCTCGGGTAATAGAAAGAACGTGACTTTTTGAGGGGTGAAACACCATCTTATTAATATTATGATGTGCCCAATTTTGAAGACTGTTAATATCCCGCTATCCCGCTGGAGCAGCCAATGGTCATCCTGAGACGTAATTCTACGCCATATTTTTGTATCATTAGCATACATGGTTATATTTGTTTCCGGTGACAAATCTTCTGTAATGTCATTAAGAAATAGTATAAATAAAGTTGGCCCTAAATTTAGCCCTGAGGGACACCCGATCTTTCCTGCCAGGGAGCAGACATTTTATTTCCAATGACAACCCTTTGGTATTTGTATTCAAGGTAGCACTTGAAGAATCTCAGTAGAGATGCATCAATGTTATATTGTTCTTTGAGCTTCAACAGAATTATGTCGTGGTTGACAGAATCAAAAGCTTTTTGGAAATCAAAGTATATTATGTCAGTGCGAACATTGTCATTGACAGATAGGGCTAAGCTGTCACAGAAATTTACTAGCTGAGTTGTACAGGATTTCCTACTCATAAACCCATGTAATGTTGGCGTTGATCGATAAGATGTTCACATCGATTGAGCAATTCGATCTCTCTCTCTGTTCTGGTCAACGATTTCTCGCCTCCTACTTTAATAGGGAGGTCTTATCGCCGTGCCCACAGAATGCAACTCCTGCTAGCTGCATGCCAGGACTCCCAAAGTATATACGAAATCATAAAATAATAAATATCAATGCAACAGACCCCTGGAGTCTTGAAGCTGTCGCTACCTGGCTCAGAGCAAACCCACTCCGTTGTAGTACTTCTGCGGAGTGCGGGCAGACAAGGGACTTCCGAGCAAGGTCAAAGCCTGGGAGATATGTCTCTATGCAGAGATGGGCCTAGGTTGAGTTCCTAGTGTGGGATTTAGCGAAAGTTCCTGGTGAAGAATCGAAGGAGGTTACCCAAAAGGGTTTTCCCTATCCAGTCTTTTCGACTGTTCCACAAATTTGAAGATATGGTTGTATTTTACTGTTGTTAAGGTAGAGTTTATCAATTATCCTCATTCTGAACGTCTTGATCTGGAATCTGGATGCACTTGCAGAGGAGGTGCTGGAATGGTTATCCAAACTTTTTATAGGCACAGGAGCACAAAGTGAATCACGAGTAATAACATGAAAACAACAGTCATCAAATTGAATTAAAATTGTAAAAGAATACACGAAAATTAAACATTCAATAGGCAGCCCAAATTCTTTTTATCAAAAAAATCAATAAGATTGGTACGGTAAAATGTACAACTACAAGTATTTTGGTTTAAGACGGCTCTTGTTGAATCGCAATAGTCATAACAAAACCCTAACTCTAACCCCATAACAATATCCCATAACCGTAAACAGTCGTGTGATCAAAAACATCCATGAAAGGACATTTCATAACCTCAAGGCTCTTCAAAACAATTTAAATACGGCTTTAGATCAGTAATCTTGCAAATAGAGGGGCTAGTAACAGTAAAGTTGGCTTCAGGTTGTCTACTCCGTCATCAGCTTCATCTGAAAAGTAAATATTTTAACAAGTTGGTATCATGGTGGAGGACAGAAGAGCTCCTATTTCTAGTCTAGACTTTAAAACGTCTTCTCTCCTTTCTCACAATATTGATCAAGCGCTTTAAATTAAGAAGTAGATCATCTTCTAGTTATAGAAGATGCCTTTTCAGAAAAAATTAAATCACCTTCATCATCGTCATCATCTTTATCGTCATCATCATCATCATCTGTGTCATCATCATCATCTTCATCATCATCATCTGTGTCATCACTATCGTCGTCCTTGTCATCATCATCATCATCATCATCTTCATCGTCATCATCTGTGTCATCACTATCGTCGTCCTTGTCATCATCATCATCTGTGGGGAAATGGAGGCTCAATTCAAACAAAAAGAATGTTTGGAGGGTGACATTACGTCGGCGAATTAAAACAATCAAATTGATGTTTCCCAAATTGATGTTTCACAATTTCGATAAAATAAATAGCGACGTTTAATTTTCCATATCTCATGACTCACCATCATCAGTATCATCCGAATCTGTATCCTTAGCAGATTCTATTGGCTCTGCAGCCGGCTCAGCTACTTTTGCATCCGGAACTGATTCTGCAGGTTTTGCCACAGCAGACGCATCTTCTTCTGCAACCGGAGCTGGATCTACAGCCGGAGCTGGATCTTCAGCCGGCTCCGGATCGGCAGCCGGCGCACTTTCTGCTTCTGTAAATAAAATTGCAATTGGTTGCTGTTACGTGGCAGCCTAATGGCGAGCAAATTTAATAATTCACCTTTATTGTTCAATCCATATATGACATGATAGAGAGGTCCAGCCATTTTCTTAAATTCTTTCATGAAAATTTTTCCCCTAACCTCGATTTTAGGTGCTGATTTTAAAGACGCGTTTAAATGTTAATAAGCCATTCAGTCGTCAGGAATCGTCGAGTGGTTTTAAAAATTTCAACTGTCATGGATTTGATTTTTAAATGTTGATGTGGAGCTGGCTTTTGTTCTCAAATCTCCATTATATTATCCGGAGGCCCCTATTAAGGTTTAAAGGATTTTTCAGAACCGTGCATAATCTAGCACACATTCAGATCGATTTTTCTGGCGATTAAAACTTTTTAAAGTGATACTCAAAGATTAATGTAGAAGTAATAATCGACAAATTTAAGTTTAACAACCTGCTGCTCGTGCGACGACGGCTGACACTGCAAAAATAGTCAATACTACAAACAGCTTCATTCTCGAGAAAATCCTATATCAGCACCCTAAGGAAAGTGGTACATGATGATCACTCAAATTATATTTGTATGAAAAGCTTTTATTCTGATTATTTGAGGGATTGAATGGTTAGCTTCATGAAAATATATGTAATAAATCTACAAAATAAAGACAAATATTAGAGTATCAAGAAAAATGACAATGATCCAAACATAACTGATTTAAGTTTAACACAATCGAATTCTGATTAACGATACAATTTTAATGAATCGAAAATGAAAGCGAAATAAAACGTTACAACGTATCACTCATCCTGTAATAATCATATTTGTATTGGATTTTAATTCATGAAATCAAGCACGTGACTAATTAATAATAAAACTAAATGACCACATTGGTGAAAATGAATTCACGTGACTCTTTCACTTACTAGCAAAGATTCGTTTCACGATAAAAACTAAATAATGCACTTTGTAAACATATTAATCTAATTACTAATTAATCTAAATCACTTAATATTATCTTTACTGGCAGGAGGCAACATTTACTGCGATCAGAAAATAAAATTGTTATTGGCGAATAAAATAATACCTTGATAATTAAATGGTGATTAATAAAATTACAAGTTATCTTAATACTTATCAGACAGAGACTTTCTTTAACGATGACTAATCAAGTTCCCCCAATTATCACGTAGGTTAGTTAAATACTTTAATTGGCAATTAATCGAAAAATACTGAGACTTGAGAGGAGTTACACTCGGAAAAATGAGAGATGTCTAAGGTTTTTTATTCCATTCATGTTCAAACAAAACGATATTTTACATGTGTTGTTTAATCAAATTCCGAACAGTGCCTTGAACATGTTTCTGATAATTTGCCATACTTTGTCCCGGATGAGTCTGGTAAATAGGATATAGAGCAGAGGAGAAATAGCCACTGAGCAGAGAAGAAGAGCATTTCCTAAATCCAGCCAAACTCTGCCACTTTCACTTGCTATCATGCCGACAGAATCCTGCGAGACGAGGATGAAGATCCATGGTATGCTGGATGTTATGTGGATGAGTGTCAGAAGGACCAAGGACCAAGGTATCTCCTTCTTTCTCAGGAGATCAGTTTGTTCGGTGACAAGAGAGAGGCGTCTCACTGCTTCTTTAAATAGCGGCTTTATACTCCGAAGATCGTGAGATTTCGCGCTTTCCTTTTGTTTGTGCCAGTCTGTTGATAGCAAATTGGCAGAGCTTGGACATTGGAGAGAGAATTTCTTTGACTGCCAAGTTTCAACTTCTGATGATGAATGAAGTGGGTTGGTCAAAACAGTTCCATGTGCTGGAGGTTGCGGCTCCCCGTGCACAGTTAGTGGTAGTGGAGATTTCTCACATGAGCGATATTCCCAAGGTAAGAACCGGAGCAGATCGCCGATTCCATTGGAAGGTTTTCTTTGTCGCTCTTCGGTACAATGACTTCCTTTATTTGGTGAACCTTCTGTTGCTTTTTTGTGCTCCTTCTCAATAAAAGCTGAAAGTTCTTTTGGTGTAACAACAGAGACATTTGTTATCACGACATCAGAATCGCTTTTTGCGCTCTTATCTTCCTTCGTCTGTTCTTCCGGGATGATGCTGTTATTATTGGTAAAGATTAGGTTTGTTTCAGTGTGAATGGAAATGTTGTTCAGATTGAGAGCATCTTTGTCGATGGTCAGGGAGACCTTATTTACGATTGTGATGCCTGCTTGATTAAGATCACAAACTTGCACCCTCGGTTTGTCAGGAGTTGCAGTTCCGGATTTGGAATTTTCAAATTTTCTCCCTCCTGGAGACTGGTCATTGTTCCCTGGCAAGGAGGTCTTTCTTTTCTGGGCCCTTTCTCGATGTTTCTTCAGCACATTGTATACGTAGATATAGATTCCTATTACGATGAGCGTAGGAAGAAGAATCCCCAGGGTAACATAAACTGATATATATCCGTAGCATATAGAGTTGCATTCCAAGTGGCAAAGTCCGAGGATAGTGTCGTAATACGGCTGACAGGTCCCCAGAGCAGGCCAGAGAGCAATCAGTAGTGCGAATATAACAGCTACCACACATGCTACTACTTGATACTTTATGAGTAGGATATTCCGGTAACGGAGAGGATACTTGATGAATATTAGTCGTGATATTGTGATGAGAAGTATTGCCAAAATGGGTAGTGTCATGGTGAAGAGGGTGAGAGACTTTGTTACCCCACAAGGCAGGGCCTCAGAGAGAAGATAAACGAGGAGGATTCTCAGAAAGAGGAGAACTTCTGTGACTGAGTAAAACACCAAACCTATGTAGAGTTTTATGACTCGTTTGAAGTAGGTGAAAATAGTGAAGATAAGCATGGAACAGGAGATGAGAAGAATCAGTGCTGATGGAATGATGGCAACTTTGGTTGTGTACATTTCAGCAATCTGGTTCGGCAGGATCTCTATACCGTCAGGGCCTGGTGTTGTGCTGCTTCCAACGATAATAACTTTTGCAAGATGAGAGAGGTCATGGTGCGTATGATGGTCCTTGTGACCCATGAAAGTCAGCAAATCAGTCAGCGGCGGAGAGGTAGTGTAATCCGACATTTCCTGAGTGTTTTATTTATCAGTTTCAGCAAATATTGACTTCCTCGGATAGAAAATTATGCTACTCTATGGTTTAAGAAATAGTTTCAGACTCTTTCCATTAAATTCCAGGATCAAACAAATGTTGCACAAATTCACTAAATCTACATCAGCTAAAAATCTACTCTGACGTAAAATTAAGCCCAGAATGGGAGTATCACTTTATAGTCTCCATTTCTCTTTACACGCTACTACTCACTATCAACATTCAACGAGCCTCTTAGCAGATTATTTAATCATTCACTGCCAAATTTAATTGGTAAATAATTAAATCTTTGTTAACTGTTCGTCACAGTAACTAAGTAAGCTTGTTTTTCAACAGAGAAGCAGTGAGAGAAAAACTGAAAAGCAAATAATGGCACTATCCGTCGCGGAGTAGAGTCCGCGGCGGAGCCGCCGGACTCCGAGCGGACTCCGAGCGGACTCCGGCGGTGCTCCGCCAAAATGTATTTACACTGGACTCGAGTACATTTTGGCGGACTCCGAGCGGAGCCGAGCGGACTCCGAGCGGACTTTAAAGTCCGCCGCGGACTCCGAGCGGCTCCGCGGCGGCTCGGCGGAGTGTCCGCCGCGGACTAAGCCACTAGGCGGACTCCGGTCCGCCGCGGACTCCGGCGGAGTGCTTGGCGGACTCCGCCGGACCTCTCCGCCAGACTTGAATCCGGCGGAGTCCGGCGGAGCTTGGACTCCGCTCGGAGTCCGCCGGACTCCAACAGAGTCCACTGACTTCCGACTTCCGACTTCCGACCCTCGGCTAAATTTGTCACGTGACATACAACATAGCCAATAGCATTTTGCGATATTGTGGTCAGATGAAAAGGTCGCTAGTGATAAACCTTAACCATTACCCTCACAATGTCAATAGTGTACAACTCTAGTCCTAACTTTGACCCTATAATGTATAAACGTTGACCCTAACCCTCCACCAAACCGCCAGCAGCGAAATATCAATGTCATTGACTGGTCACGTGACCAAAACAATTTTTGTCATATTATCTCATATAGGGAAGCGCTTTTAGTTTTACCCTACACGTTGCATGTGGCGTCATTCGGCCGGATCCCAGCAAGCAAAAATACGTCGACCATCACAGGACGACGCCAGCACTCTCTACGCTTTGCTCTAACCAGAGCCCTCTCACTTGCAGTAGCGCGCGACCGCAGTACGCGTAGGCACATGTGACATGGCTATGTGAATTCGTCGACGTGCGACGAGCAACGAGAAAAATTGCGTGGCGCGTCGGGTGGCACATCTTAAGGGGTGATACGAGTATAAATTTCGATCGCTGACGTACAGCGAACATCACAGCTGCGAGTGGCGTCAGCTAGTAGGATTTCATCCTACAATGCAAGGCACATCGCGTTCATCTAGCTAACCAGGTGCTTTCGCGCCGCTGCGGGCGCGCTTGTTCCACAAGTCATTTCCGGCGGTCGCACGCTACTGCAAGCGAGAGGGCTATACTTAGAGCAACACATCGCGCCACAAGCCAAATATTTATCAACATCTAGACTAGCTACGCGGTCCTTTTCCGCATGCGCTCGCGCTGTGCTCAAAAATTGACGTCGTCAATCAATCAACATCAAGATTTTAGTTTTACATTTGACCTTTATGTCAAAAAATCTCTGAATTTTCAATCGGTGGTCGATGTTACCTGAGGACCTCAGGCTTCGTCCTTACTTCGTCACAGGACGATCGGAGCTCGAAGAGCGTAGAGAGTGCTGGCTGGCGTCGTCCTGTGATGGTCGACGTATTTTTGCTTGCTGGGACCCGGCCGAATGACGCCACATGCAACGTGTAGGGTAAAACTAAAAACGCTTCCCTATATGAGATAATATGACAAAAATTGTTTTGGTCACGTGACCAGTCAATGACATTGATATTTCGCTGCAGACGGTTTGGTGGAGGGTTAGGGTCAACGTTTATACATTATAGGGTCAAAGTTAGGACTAGAGTTGTACACTATAAAGTCCGCTCGGAGTCCGCTCGGAGTCCGCCAAAATGTACTCGAGTCCAGTGTAAATACATTTTGGCGGAGCACCGCCGGAGTCCGCTCGGAGTCCGGCGGCTCCGCTGCGGACTCTACTCCGCGACGGATAGTGCCCAAATAATAGTAATCGAATGTCATAATTTCGATTTCATTCGCTACGGCTCCATGTAGCCTGGCAAATTAACATCCAAAGAGAGCTTTGCATGCCAAACATTAGTTTCATTCGACAATTTGGAAAATATCCTCAGGAAATCGCAGAGATAAATTAGATATATTAGATATATGTGCTAATACTATGTACAATTTGAAAGTTGAAACAATGAGGACGACAAAGTTTTTACTGATAGTGATAACTACTGAGTTTAGTAAATATTTAAGACGGGATATTAATTTTCAAGTATTCCGAGCCATAGCAAAATTGGCGAAATCTGTTCTGTGAATTTGATTACTGAGATGGATGTTAATAAAAGCATATAAAAATTATTAAACGATCAAATGGTTGATTCAAGAACATCAATGAATAACTTGATATGTTATAATATGACCAATGATCTACAATTGACATTAAATTATCGGTATCAAGCGTGCAGCAACCGTCAAATTAAAGTTAAATGTCCACGTTAAAGTATGTATAATTATACTTATAGTCATACATTTTATATTCATATGTATTTATACAATATACATATTACTTAGTACTTACAGTAATAATTATTAATTTTCTATAAAATGTGGAACTCTACTTGTGCAAACATAATTCATGTAACCACGTTTTAGCCACAGTAAAACACTGACTGATCGCAAACCCCGATTTATCGCGGATGTTTCCTTTCCCCAAACTCCGCAGTAAATCGGGGTTATACTGTATTTTGTACTGATATCACTATAGCAGTATAGGAGTAAGAAGTAAAGTATAGGAGTATAGTAAGGTGGGTGGTGATCACAGCATGTTTAAGCAAAGAAAACAAAGATTCCCTTCACTAATGTTCAACTGTTGATTATACTCATATAGAGTAGTGGTACTGGTGTCATCTGATTAGTATATTAGGAGAAACTGCACTTTTAAGGATATTTTCAATCGTTTTCCTTGCTAATGAGATATATCGGGCTTCATTATCGGATTAATCCGACATAGAAGATGGATTTTTGTAAATATCTTATCATACTAAACAACGTGATGTTTTGTGGAAACAAGTAAATATCGTGGTGCTCACTGCTGAGAACCTTAAAATCCTTGATCCTATATTGTTTGATCCGGATTAAAACGGGAAAATAAGTTTGTGAAAATAATTGATTCAACTAAAGATGCGAAAATGGGTCCCGGCAAAAAATGATTGTTTCACAGTTTACAGGTTACAGTAAGGAGAGAGCATCAAATTTGAAGCATGATGTATTATTTAGTATTAAAAATTATTGGCACAGCTTCTTTAAAAAAGAACAATTTATTGAAGGGGTTTATGAAAAGGCTGTCGAATGTTGATGATAATGACGAAGAAAGGGAAAACATCCTTATATGATGTTTTGGTTATGATTTCATAGAAAATTCAAAATCTAAGTCTAACGGCGATGATCAAGGGTCATGTGCACAACAACTTCCTCAACAGTTTATCAACCCATCATATTTAGGCGAACTGTTTAACAACTAGCGTCAGCGAATATGTGTTTACTAAAATTAGGAAGTAGTCAGTAGGCACATGGTTTGATTCAGTCAGGTGGTTAAATTATTAACAATATTCTTCCCGTACGAGTGTCCAATTCCATAACATCGACCAGATGATATTGTCCGTCGGCATTGATGGTTTAAATTTGGTCATCAGATACCATGGTTACATGTTATGTTCATATGACGCAACCAATTCGACTACCGGGGTATTTGTAAAAGATTAAAATGGAAATCGTCACGTATCAACAACCAAATTTATTAGACTGGACAGTGTATAATAGTTTGGGAAGGTTCGAGATTGGTCGAAATGCACACAAGTCACAATAATATTCACCTCCAAGTCCAGACAATACTCATATGAAAACTTTGAAAAAAAGGAGGAGGGAGGGTTAAAATGGAAAGAACGGCTTGTCTGAACAACCCGATCTCTTGTTGACCACTCGCAGCTCACAGCTCTGCTTACGATCTCACGTTGCCAACAATGTTTATGTATAAAAGTTGTTTTGAGCGTGCACGCCAGCGTCAAGATCAGTAGTCGAAATTTCACAATCGAGTGAGGTATGAATTTATGCACGGCGCGGCCCAGTAAAGCAACGTCTTACAACCACTATCGTTGCAGTTGCAGTTGCACCATACATCTACTCATGGTAGTCAGTAGTCTCTTTTACTATTAGCAAGTCGAACCAACCCTCACTTCACCAAATCTCTTATCACAGTGCTGGCAAGCACGACCGTTGCTCTTATACATCCTATATTACCTGGGGACCCCAGACTATAATGTTCATAAACATATAGAGATTCGGCGGAATGACAGGCTGAGCGCCGCACAGTAACCTCCTATACTATTATACCCCCATACTATAATTATACCTCCTTTACTGTTTTTCCAGGCATTTATAAGACTCATCGGAAGTCGTTCAGCAGGTTTATTTTAAGTTCAAAACATCTGATTTCATTCTCGGTATCATTTTGCATTTGAGAACGGTCATTCAAATTAATATCATTTCCTTTTGTTTGGGAAAGGGAGAAACTGGCAGCCGTCCACTCTACCCAATTGTGGGTTTTGGTAAAATTGTACAACAGCAAATTCTAGGACCATTTTATTCTCAATCTCATCACAAGCGTAATTAGCAAATATAATATTATCGCTATTATATAAACAAAACGTGGTTTTTTGGGCAAATTGTTTTGAACACAGCAACTGCAAGATACAAGGAAAGGTCACTCCCAGAGTTGAGATAGTAATATGTAAAGTAATACTGCAGTAGTATGGTACATAAATTGAAAATGCACCCATGTGCAACATGCATTTTTAAA